GCTGGAGGGGAAGTTCACCGTGATGGAAGAAATGCTAAAAAAAATTACTTGAGATGAAGACAAATCCAACGACATCGGAAGCAAGAGAGATCACCGGAGGCCATGGCGTAGGAGGGAATTCGAACCCGTTTAGGGGGAGGAGAAATCCGGAAGTGGAGATCCATGAGGGAGAGGACGACATGCCAACTCTAGAGCCACTTTCTAGAGAGAACATGAGTCTAGGAAATGACCGAAGGGATGCTGATTTCCGAGCGAGGAGGGATGATTTTCATCGCCGAGTGGCTGATTTTGAAGGGAGAAGAGGGGAATATGATGAAGGGTTCGGGTATAACCGTCGGAGGGAAGATCGTGACAGTTGGGGAGCGCCACCTTTCCGAGGAATGGGAGGTTATGGAGGATTCAGAGGAAATGGGGGAGACCCACGGGTGAGGAAGCTGAAGATGCCCGTCTTTGAGGGGGAAGACGGCCATAGTTGGATCTACAAGGTGGAGCGTTACTTCGCTGTCAATGGGTTGACAAAGGAAGAAAAGCTGACGGCGGCAAGATTGTGTTTGGAAGGAAAAACCTTGGCCTGGTATCAGTGGCGTGATAGGAGGGAGCCCATCCGGAGCTAGAGAAAGTTCAAGGATTACTTATTGAAGCGTTTCCGAGCCCATGTGGGAGGAGACTTCTACGAACAATTCTTTGCTCTGACTCAGGAGGGGACCGTGGCAAACTACCGGGACAAGTTCGAGTACTTGGCTAGTAGATTGGATCACATTTCAGAGTCAGCCCTGGAAGGGAACTTCATGAAGGGGCTAAAACCGGAGATCCAAACAGCAGTTAGGGTGCTTGAGGGAACTATTCTGGGGGATCATGCAAGATGACTACTACCTTATTACCATCGAAAGGGGCAGTGCCAGGAAGTCTGAAGGAAGCAGCAAAGGAGAAAACTGGAGGGGGGAATGAGGGACAATTCAAAAAGCTGACAGAGAAGGAGATGCATGATAAGAAAGCAAAGGGGTTGTGCTTCAGATGTGATGAGAAATACATGCCGGGGCATAGGTGCAAGAACCGAACTCTTCAGGTTCTCCTTGTCTGTGAAGACAGGGAGGGAGGTGGGAGCAGATCTGAAGAAGAGGAGGAGAAGCTACACCTGGATGTGACAGAAGTCTCTCTAAACTATGTAGTGGGATTCACCCCGAGTCACACTATAAAAGTGAGAGGAGAGATAGCTGACCGCGAGGTGGTGGTGTTGATTGACAGTGGGGCAACCCACAATTTCATTTCCAAACAAATCGTTGAGCTGTTGGGAATGGAGTTAGTGGATACCAGAGGCTATGGGGTGATGATGGGCACGGGAAAAGTGAAAATGGGTAGAGGAGTTTGTAGAGAGGTTGTGCTGAAGATTCAAAGAATCCAAGTGAAGGAGGACTTCCTTCCTTTGGAATTGGGGAGCACTGACGTCATCATGGGGATGAAGTGGTTGCAAACATTGGGGGAGACCAAGATCAATTGGGGGACACTGAGGATGGAGCTGGTGGTGGGGGGGGAGAAGAAGGATGATCCAGGGTGATGCCGAGTTGATCAAGGTAGGGGTTTCTTTCAAATCCCTGATCAGAACCCTTCAAGAGGAGAGAGGAGGCTACTTAGTGGAGTTGCACCACCTGGAAGGGATCAGATTATCAGATTAAAGGAAGAAGGCAATGTTCCACCTACAATGCAGCTGCTCATACACCAGTTCAGCGAGGTCTTTCAACCTCCCCAAGGTTTACCTCCTCAGAGGGAGTTGGAACATGCAATTACTTTGAAAGAAGGGGAGACACCGATCAGCGTCCACCCTTACCGTTACCCATAGATTCAGAAAGATGAGATTTAGAAGTTGATCCGGGAAATGCTGGAGGCAGGGATCATTAGACCCAGCGTCAGCCCTTTTTCTAGTTCAGTTCTCCTGGTCAAGAAGAATGATGGGAGTTGGAGATTTTGTGTGGATTACAGGGGTCTGAAAAAGGGCACTGTACCAGACAAGTTCCCAATTCCGATGATTGATGAACTGCTGGACGAGCTGCATGGGGCAATGATGTTTTCCAAGCAGGACTTAAAATTCGGATACCACCAGATCAGAATGAGAGAGGCAGATGTTCCAAAGACAGCGTTCAGGACACATGAAGGATATTATGAATTCCTGGTAATGCCCTTTGGGTTAACCAACACTACTGCTACATTTCAGTCCTTGATGAACAAGGTGTTCAAGCAGTACCTCAAGAAGTTTGTCCTGATCTTCTTTGATGACATTCTGGTATACAGCAAGATTGGGGAGGAGCACTTGGAACAACTGAGGATGGCCTTAAAAGTACTACATGAGCATCAGCTGAGAGCCAACCTAAAGAAATGCAGTTTTGCTCAGCCCAGTGTAGAATATTTGGGACATGTGGTTTCCCAAGGAGTGGCGGCGGACCAAACCAAAATTGAGGCAATGCAGAAATGGCCACTACCTAGGAACCTAAGAGAGTTGAGGGGTTTCCTAGGATTGACTGGCTATTACAGTAAGTTCGTGAAGGGGTATGATACCATTGCATGGCCCTTGACTGAGCAATTGAAGAAAGACAACTTCTCCTGGGGAGATGCATCAATCCAAGCCTACGAGAGGTTCAAGAAAGCCATCACCACTATTCCTGTTCTAGCCCTTCCAGATTTCAGCCAGGCCTTTGTTGTAGAGATCGATGCGTCAGGATATGGGTTGGGAGCAGTGTTGATGCAGAATCACGGGCCTGTAGCATACTTCAGTCAAGTGCTATCAACCAGAGCAAGACTGAAGTCAGTGCACGAGAGGGAGCTGATGGCGATTGTCTTAGCCATTCAGAAGTGGAACCCCTATCTTTTGGGTCGACAGTTCATTGTCCGAACTGATCAGAGAAGTTTAAAGTACCTCTTGGATCAAAGGATGGTGACTGAGGAGCATCAGCGGTGGCTATCCAAACTTTTTGGCTACGATTTCGAGATCCAGTACAGGCCTGGTTTGAAAAATAAAACAGAAGGCGTCCTATCCAGATGTGTGGGGGAGCTCCAGGAGTTAGCTCTGTCTGTACCCTTGATAGCCGACTAGGGGGGGTGGGGGCCATCAAGGAAGAGAGCAGGTTGGATGAAAATTTGGGAAAGATCAAGGAGGATATGAGGAAAGACAAGAGTAGCCATCCTTATCACGGGAGGTTTGTGATGCCACGAACTTCCATACATATTCCCCACTTGTTGCAGGAGTTCCATGGCAGCGCAGTTAGAGGTCATTCAGGAGTGCAGAAGACATACAAGAGGTTAGCAACTGAACTCTACTGGAAGGGGATGCATAAGGATGTGGAGGATATGGTGGCAAGGTGTGAGGTGTGTCAGAGATGGTAAACCGGAGCTTGGAGACATATTTGAGGTGTTTTGCTTCGGAAACACCATGGAAGTGGGCTCAATGGTTACCATGGGCGAAGTACTGGTACAACACCTCATACCATTCTGCTTCTCAGATGACCTTGTTCAAAGTGTTGTATGGGAGGGACCCCCACACCTAGTGCACTATGGGAGAGGAAGTATACCTATCTCTTCAGTTGAACAATACCTAGAGGAAAGAGACTTGTGTTGGAGGAATTGAAGAAACATCTGAGAAGAGCACAACAAATCATGAAGAAGCCAGCAAATACACACAGGAGAGACATACAATATGAAGTAGGGGAGAAGGTGTACTTGAAGCTAAGGCCCTACATGCAAAAATCAGTGGCTAACAGGAGGAACGAGAAGTTGGCTTCGATGTACTTTGGTCCCTATGAGATCTTGGGGAAGATTGGAGCAATGGCGTATCGTCTGAAGTTACCCTACTTCGCTACCATACACCCGATGTTTCATATGTCACAGCTGAAAAGAGCACTTGGAGAGCATGCAGCTAGTGTGGAATTACCAACATCATTGACAGAGGATTTGGAGGTGGTCATGGAACCCGTGGAGCTGGAAGGGGTAAGGTTGGATAAAAAGGGAAACAAAGAGGTGTTGATCAAATGGAAGGATCTCCCCGACTACGATGCCACTTGGGAGCCCTATGAGATGGTGAAGCAGTAGTTCCCGTACTTTCACCTTGAGGACAAGGAGAATCTTTGGGAGGGGAGTAATGTTACGCCTGGACCGGTCCAGTTCTACACCCGGCAGCCCAATGTCGGGCGTAACCAAGTAGAGGGAGGGGCGGAAGATGAGGTGGGCCCAGGCATGCATTAAACAATTCATTTGGAGGGAATTTTTGAATTGGAAGGGTGTTTAGGGAATTTGTATCATTCATTTAGCTTTAATTAGGGAGTAATGAGGGAAATTAGGGATTATCTTGAATTTGAATGTATTTTTGAGATCTAGGGTTTGTAGTTTGGGCTCTTGGCGTTGCCGGAGATTTGGAGAGTTATTCCTTCCTCTCGAATTAAAGGAAATTGTATCTTTGCTTGTTTTCTTGAATCTACTAGTGAAATACAATCGCTCTAGTGGTTTTCCTACAAGTTTTCTCTCTGTTTTCCACTGTTTCGGGCTGTTTTACTGCTGTGAACAGCAGTTTTCCTTGTTGTGGTACTTGATTTTGGTTAGGTTTGCTTGTGGATACAAGTATTTCCTATCAGTCCCGGCAACTGTTAGATCTTGTAACATTTTTAATGGTTGGTTCTAAATTTTGTTAATTGAGAAAGAAAAAAGATGGCATGCAGTTAATCTCCTCTCTTACAAATTGAAGTAAGTTTCGAATATGAATATTGTACCATAGAATACTCAACTAAACTAGTTTATATCCATTTAACTTGAGGCCCAAATAAATTTTTACATATTAATATCCAAGCCGAAAAGTAACAATAATGTCTATAGAAAGCCGAGGAAGAATTTAATAGGTCTCAAAACAGATCATGCAAACACCAAGCATAACTAGATTGCAGACCATACAGTGCAACATATGCTCAATAATGAGAAAAAATAACATCAGCAAGAGATTACTTTGTAATGGCAATTCATACCTGTGCAGAGTGTAAAGGTTGCGAACACTTCTATCAGCATCAGGAGAAAGGTATTTTCCATCGTCCCTATCAAGGTCTAGCTGCAATGGGAACTCATATCTATCATTTATCTGCATAAGAATATCAATTTATTAACTAGTAAGAGTTCAATAATATATCACAAAAAATTTAGCAAAATATCTCTATGCAACAATCTATACCACATTACATGAAAAATATTGGAATTCATTATTGAAGAAAGGTAACCATGTATAACAGAGGATTGAAGATCATATCAATATGAAGGATAGATTAAACTAACATGAGAGAATTAAAAAAAAAAGGAATGTACCAAAGTTAACAAGGAAATAAGTGTTCAAAAAAGACATGCAAGTTAGATTTAACATCAAGCACCAGTCAACAGGAATAATTGAGAATGATATTCATAAAATTGAGAATGATGATTCATTAAACCGATCAGAAATAATTGGATAAGAATTTTGATGATGATGTATATTCCTTTTATTAGTTATTTTAATGTGAGCCTGAAATAAAGCCATTGCTCAGCAATTGGAATATCTTAAGCAAGTTCATCTGCATATATCATCCTGTCCCCTGATGCATTTTTTAGTTAATTAAATCTTAACGTAGACACACCAGAAAATTTGACAAAACTAAGCAAAAACATTATCAAGAAGAATAGCACTTATCAAAAAACACACCTTTACCATTGTATCCCTCATATAATCATACTCAAAGCGTTTTAGCTGGAGTTGCAAAACCGGAGGGAAGTCGATAAAGAGTACACCCTTCTTAGCATCCTGAAATTAATATGATGGCAGCTGACAAATTAAGTAATTAAGATAAACGTGGAAATATATATGAAGCAGAGTAGCACAAAGGCTATAAATATTATAAGCACAATGAGCATGCTTTATTTTCCATCAAATACAAATATAGGTATACTCGTTACCTTCACTATGTCATAGCTAATCTTATTTCAAAATGGGCATGTTTCAACGTTATGAACAATAGGGAAAATGTTGTGTTTGCTATATTAAGCAAAGGTTCGAGATCATAAAGACACAAAATTATACTTCATACAAATTTTCCAGCTATTTTGTGCATCAAGCATGTTCTTTTGAATATTTCATCATTACTACACATTATTTGTTTATAGCTGAACTAGTTTTTATTCAGAGTGAAAAAAGGGCAAAAAAATCAATATAGAAAACGCAGCATAAACCTATAATCTGTCATATACTGATTTGTAAACATCAAGGTGATGCAAGACTAAAATGTTTTAATTAAATGTGATAAGAATTTGCACGATCTCTTGAATAAAATAATTATGATTAAAACTTTTAGTGATCAAAACGACAAAAGAAAACAAGAGAGGAGTGCCTACATTTAGGCTAAGCTGCTTGTCAAATGCTTGATTTATCAAAATAACGTAGAATATCAATAACATGCAAATTAAGTAGCTTTCAAATAAAATCCCTATGCTAACAATAAGATTAGAAGCATATAGGCTAAACTCAATTCCTACAATTACTAAGCTTGGCAGAGACAGGCGAAAAAGACCTTCATGAATCAAATCAAACTACAAGAGAAAGTTAAACCACGAAAATACGAGTAGGAAGATTGGAAAACCTTTGTCACGGTTTGGATGTAATCCTCCACTGAGGTTGGTTATGAAGGCCGGCGGCTTGGGTGGTGAGGTGGGGTTAGGTGGCCAGCTGCTATGTGATGAAGGGAAAGGGAAAATAGATAAGAAGAAGAACTACGAACCCGGCCATCTTCAAGATTGGTAGGTGATCTAAATTCCCTCTCCAAGGGACCTCGCTCCAATCTCTCAAGCTCTCATAAGAACTCAAACAAGGGAAAAAAATTTTATGATTCAATCATTAACCTTAGAAGAGAAACATGAGGGCTATAAATAGCCTCATACAAAAGGACTCAAAATAAAAAAGGCCACAATGCCCTTAAGGCTTACATACGACCTCCCTTAAGTAAGGAGCAAAACGGAAAAACAAATACAACATAAATAATAAGAGCCAAATAACATAATAAAAGACAAATACATGAAATGACTCAAAAATACATCGACTCGATCGTGGCCGTAAATCGACGGCCACGCCTCTGATATACTTTCCATGCTCTGATGTCCCCATCACTAGGCTTCTTCATCCTTTTCAGTTATTGAATTTTGCACAACTCACAAACATCCACAACAATTTCAAAGTCGCGTGAATTACAATTTCAGCATGGGAAGTGAATTTCACATAAAAGTTAATTATATGGCATGATCGTTGCCTACGGAATTCTGATTGGGCCTTTCACAAAAAAAAAAATACATATTTCAGTTTAGAAATTCTAGAAAAGGATAATTTCCTCTGAGCTAAAAATCCCTCACAGAGAAAAGTTTATATAAAGGCTGAGATGAAATTTATGGCAAAGAAGTAACTGACCTGTAAACCATATTGTTCTGCCTGATACTTGTTGTCTCCTTCAAGACGCTCAACTTCAACATACTTATCAAAGGAAGCATAAACATCACGACAGCCTTTGACATCAAGTTGAAGGTCTAAAGAAGATTCAGAACAGCATTTAATGAAACAGTATAATCACATTATGATTCGGTTCAAAAACAAAAATCACAAATGTTTTTATAGTTCCAAAATATATGTATGAACTCAATTAAAATTACCATAGAATGACTCTTTCCGCCTTGATTTGTAATCGACATTAATACACTCAATATAGTTCATGTGGTGACCTTCGAATAATTGTTGTATAGTGCCCTCAACAACAGTTCCCTAAAATATGCAAATTAGCATGCAACTTCCAAAATCAAAGATAAATGTAAGTACATTATTGACCTCAAACCTTCATCTTATCTTCCAGCTTCTCACAAAGAACCCTATTAAGTTCTTGCACATCATGCTGCATGAATGAATCATATGTATCCCATCCAAATGATTTTGTCAACTCTTTCGTAGCAACACTACTATCACTGTACTGAAGCTTATAAAACAAACTCTGAAGAGCCAAAGGGATGCTTCCGGAAGGAATATCATTCTCAGTCGTAGGCATATGGTACACAGCCTAAGAAACATGTATTAAAGTGGTTTCTTTTCCGTTGAATAGGTATCACTTACAACAAAATCAATGTAAAATACAGAATTGTACCTTTCTGAAATATGGAATATGGTACAAAGTTTGGAGAAGAGAGTTCATATAACATGTGGCACCTTGATTCTTCAGACCAACGTAACCTGTTTCCTTTTTTGAGTCATAAGTCCAATAATCAACCACTTTGCGAACAACAACCTCAGCTTCAACCACCACTACATCATTTACAAGATAGCCTCTAAGTGGGTCATATAGATCACTAAGGGGCATAAATGAAGTAAATCCCCAATCACTTTCCCGTGAATTGAATTGGTGCTGAGTATCTGCCATATAAAAATGGGCACAAAGACAATGATAGCTGAATATATAAAGTAAGACAATTTCATCTACAGAGAGATAGTAGAAAAGCACGCCTTTAGATGATAACTTCTCAGTTAATGCCAAAAGATAATAACAAATCAAGTAAACGCTAAACCATAGTGCTGTCCCATGCCAGAGCAAACATGTGTGCGTAGGGTGGGAGGCCTGAGCGTGGCAAGCAAATGCTAATTGTTGTAAGGGATAAAATGAGTTAAATATAGTGATAAATTTTTCTAGAAAGTTACAACAGTAAGGTTAATTTAATTCCATATGCAAGTACACTCTTTGTACTTTGTCTTCATCATTTAAATGTTATTTGAAATCATCTAAATTACTAATTTTTTAACAGATTCAACTTGCATTTATATGGCTACTCGTTTAGATGGCCCCACCCTGAATGAATTTAATTTCGAGTCAACCTTAAACTGATATTTTCACTTTCAAGTTGGACCAAACTGGCTCTTACTCGACTTGATACCATCCTTATCATATTTTATAAATTAAAGCTAGAAAAATAAAAGTGTTTCCAGGGATTATGGATTTACACGGAGGAAGGTGAAGTATTGTTGTAGCTAGAGTAGTGGAGTGGTTTTAATCCTCTTTGTTAAAAGGTTAATCAAAGTAAAAACAGGAATAATTTGACCATAAAAATGATCTTTAATGAAATTTTGGCTGAGAAACTGCACCCACTTATTACTATGCAGGGCCACTTCTAGTACCATCAAAATGAAATATTGTGAACTGATGATAGCTCTGGACAAGCATAGTGCACCACCAATTTGTTTTTGCATATATGCATTTGCATTTCAGTTTCAACGTTTAATCCAAACAAACAAATGGGAAAATGTCCAACAAGTGCTTAACAATAGGGGTTCAATGTTCAACATGTTAAATTAGTTGTCATCCGCCACTCTATCAGCCTTGCTCCCAAAAAAACAAGTTGATTCAAAAAATTGCAGCGCATATTGGTGATAATGGGCACGATTCAAGTTTGGCATGTTTGAGAACACAGAATATACTTCTTCTGCAACCTTCTGGAATCCACTCAAAAACCTGCTTAAAAAAATCTGAACCTCCCCCCCACCTCCTTGCATACCTTTTCTTATAGTATACTTGATGTTCGGTTGATTGATCACAGCAAGACTAAACTGTGCATATCTACTCCACGCATATGGCAAATTAGCTGAATCAGCAACATCCAGGTACATAGACAGGTGATCTACATTGTTTCCCTTTGGAAATATCAAAATTCTCCTATCATTATAACCAATGCAAAAAAAAAATCAGAGTATTTTTTTCCTCTGCAACGAACAGTGAGAGCAACAAGAATAAAGCCAAAATACAAATAGAAGAAGATACCATTTATAGCCACCAACAATGAAAGTCTCGGAGTAATGTTTCTTAACGCTTAACCTTGAGAAATTCTCAATCGTCCACGTGAATCGAGATGACGGGGGGTCCTCCAACTGCTGATTCTCAGCAGTGCTGGCAGCTTCCGCTGGAACAACTAAAAACGGAAGAATAATGACAAGCAGCATAACCCAAATTAAAACAAAGGACAACGTCTTAAGCAACAAAATCATCAACTTCAATGATGCCGATCCATCAAGAGCTCAATTACCCATGACAGCAATTCCGACTCACCTTCCATGGGCTGGGGAGCTTCCGGGAACTCTGAGTGGGGAACTAGCATCTCTTCTTCTTCTTTCTGCAAGAAACCAAGGACTACTCAGTACTTAGATCCCGTAAAACCCCAACGCCCATAACCCAATCGAAGCCCTAAAACCCAAGCACGGACGAAATGGATATCAATCAATCAGATTCACCGGGATCCCCAACGCGCATGGAGAACGAGGGATTAAGGAGATAAGAAAGAGATCGCAGGGTGTAACGAACTAATGAGTGGAATGTTAATGAGGAGATGAAAGGCGAAAGGAGTTTAAGATAAGTACGTCAATGAGGGGTGGAGTCACCACAGTCATGGATGAGATGGGAGAGGCGGCTGCGAAGATTCCGATCTTGTGAAGGTGGTAGAGGAGGCGGTTAGCCGGAGAAGGAAGGGGCCGAGGGGTTCTGAGAAGCGAATGAAGGGACACCGGTCACGCCACCGAGAAAACTGAAAAGAATGAGGTTGTAGGAGTATGGGCCTTTTATATTGAGGGTAGTTTTGAGACTTCGTTCAGTAAAGCGCCAGACCAGTCGACTTGGTTAATGAACATTTGTTTCGAGAGATACACGTGTAAGGTTGAGCAGAGAGTGGGGCTATTTTTATGAGAATTTTGTTATAAGATTTTTTACTGATCCTAAAGTCCAGTTTTTATAATAAAAATAATTTATAAAAAAATATAATTTGAATTTATAATTTAAATAAATATTTTTTTATTTTAATTACTTTCTTCCAATCTTTATAAATTTATGTGATATTCAATTCTTATTTTTTTTTAAATATACATTTGATATAATAGTTAAAATTTAATAAAATTTTATAAAAATATAAATAACCTGATTTTTTGGTAAAAACAAATTCAATCCAATTCTTATATATATGATATTTATTCTTATTCCTAAACCTTTAAAATTATTAATATTTATTTAAAATATGAGGTTTTTATATGCTTAGCATATAATTTTTTGTTAAATATTTGCCCAAATATTTATTCTAAAATTATAAACGAGTCGAGCTAGCTCGCAATCCTATCATTATAGATGCTTTTTTTCATTAATATCACTATTTAAATGTAGAATTATTAATTTATTATTGATATTATTATCACTTACATGATTAAAGAGGAAAAGATTAATATTTTATTTTATACTTGGCAAGAATATATTTTAAAATTAATTTGCTAAGAATATTGATTATATTGGACTGTTTCCAAATAAAGAATCTCACTAGTAGATAGTAGAAGATAAATTGAACCTTATTTGGGAAGGTTGTCTTATTGCTCTATGTAGAAGGCCAATGAACCCAGAATAAGCAACACTAAGGGCTATGGATGGAAGCATGTTGCCATATGGAATGGGCTCTTACTGAATTGGGCTAGTGAGAATTGGCAGGAAATCTCCAGTACTGCTTCTACAATCCATCTTACTCTTACAAAGGTTCTATTATAAATCATTCAGGAGATTCCATCACTCCAGGTGAGCTTTTTAATTTTTTATGATAAAAATATATTATATCTTATTAACATACATCTTATACAATGCAGCGCATGATGAATAATTGAAGAGATTTGCTATAAAAATTGAGCTATTATGGGGGATACATAATAAAGGGGGTGGATAACTACATCAATCATCAATCATGTGTAGTTAGGGGTGTAAACGAGTAAAGTCGAGTCGAGGTTAGGCCCTTATCGAGCTTGACTTGTTAGATGGAAAGCGAGCTCGTCTCACTGTAAATGATCTCGAGCCGGCTCGCCAGCCATGCGAGGGAATTTTTAAATTTATGCGGGATTTTTAAAACTTAGACCAAATTTAAAAATATATCTATGAAATTTTTAACATTTAAATAAAATTTAGGTGATTTTATTATTATTATTTAATATTTAAATTTAATAAATTAAATAAAATTATTTTAAAAATATAAATATTTATTCGAGCCGGCTCAAGCTCGAACTCGAACTTGTTTACGATGTAGAGGATTATGATGATTACAATTTTACATTTGCCATTAACATTTTGACTTTCGATAAATATTCGATTGATGATGTTAAGTACAATGCTTAGTTTTAAGTTTTAATAAGTATATTCTTGACAACATTATATTTTGATTCCTAAAAAGAGTGTTTTATGCATATGTTATTTTACATGCTGATTGCATATTGGATTGTTTTATATATATAATTATTGCTTCAAATTTATGTTGTGTGGGTTGGTTGTATTGAAGCAATTCCAGCCTTTGGCTATCCAGCTTGGATTCTTTATGACGGCCTTGTGACTATCAACAAACTCGAAAAGACGGTTTATATCTATTATAGTGATGGTGGGAAGTCACTAATAAGTCACAAACATGTCAACCAATGAGTATTCATCGGATCATTGCAACCACATTTTCGTGACGAAATCATAATTGAATTTGTTATTACTAATTATATGTAGTCAAAAAAATAAGTTATAACTATTAAATTAACAATGTTTTTGAGTTGTTGCAAATATCTATTTTTTGTAAAAAAGTTTGACAATTTTAAAGTTGTTTAATGGATCTCAAAGCTACACTAATCTTATAGTGCATATCTGTATCTCATAGAACTTTCCATCTGATCTCTTGAAATTATTATATTGTCTAAACTCATTCTCACTATAATAATCATGTACATATCCACTAATATTAAATAAGAAAAGTACAATTAAAAATGAATTTAAGAAAAATTAGAAGAAAAAATCACCGAGCCATAACATAACAAATTCCTCATTTTTTAACAAAAACAACCACTCTACTCAGTAAAAAATAAAAACTGTCAAGAAATAAAAGCACAAAAAAAGACCTTGTTTGAGATGAATTTTTTGTTGTTTCTTAAAGTATATTTTTAGTACAAATATTTTAATTTTTATACTGAAAAAACTTATTTAAAAATCAGCAAAAAAGATGTCCCAAACGGCCTAAATAAAACACTTTTCCTATTGCACGGTAGGATCCCCTTAGCAACTTTGTTTTGTGTGAAAACTTATTCTGTACATTTTAGCACACATATCACATCTCTTAAGATGTGCAATTACTATTTACATCTTTACCCGTACATGTCTATGTTTCTTTTTGTACCCTCTTTGGCAATTCAATCAATTACATTTTCTTTCTCTCTAGCTCTCGGTTTGTCTTCGCCCAAGTCTCTCTTGGCTGCTCCTTCATGGTATCAATAGTCAACCATGGGGGACAAAGATTCATCTGCCTCCCTTTCTCCCTCTTCCTCTACTCTAGCCGCACCTCTGTTGATTTCTCCATCTCGGCACTGCTCAAATTCCTCATCTCCAACATCAAGATTCTCATCCCGCATCATCTCACCACCGACAACTATGCAATTTGGCGCATACAAATCCTTCAACAATTATCTGCAAATGGTTATGTCGACCACCTCACGGGAGCCACTCCTCTGCCTCCCAACCCAACGTCTCAAGATCCCAATCGATGGCATCGTGTGGACAACAACTTGATCTCCACCTTGTTCTCAACGATATCGCCTTCGATCCTTCCCTATGTCATCACGTCCACCACCGCTCAAGACGTCTGGATGGTTCTTGAGCGTCATCTTCAACCAACAAGTCGTTCTCGAGTAATCCAACTCAATAACGAACTACATCACATACAAATGAAGGATCTCACCATGCAACAATATCTTTCTCAAATAAAGAATATTGTTGAAAACATTGCTACATCCAGATAAAAAATCGATCCGAGAGATATTATTTTTCAAATTCTCAACGGACTCCCGTCAACCTATAATTCGTTCAAGACAGCCATACGCATCTCACCTCTTCCCACCGATCTTGACACACTATACTCACTACTCTACAGCGAGGAAATTCACATCCGCTGAGAACTTCTCAAAAACACGTCCACAAGATCGACTGCCATCGCCCTTTATGCCACCTCCTAGCACCAAACGCGTGGGCATAATCAAAAACATTTCTTCAAGAACAAGAAGTCAAGAACTCACCATCCAAACCTCACTCGCCCAGCAATCCGACCACGACTCCCACTAACACGAACACCTCGCATCCAACTTGCCAATATATGTGGTCAAACCGGCCCCATTGCCATAAATTACTGGCATATATGTAATTTTAAATATGATCATACCATATCCAATGGGCCACGAGCCAAGATAGCACAATCGACCCCTTATGCGACTCAAGATTGGATTCTTGACTCCGGCGCTTCCATATATTTGACTCTGGACATCTCTAACATCCAGCACCCGTTCGCTTATCAAGGGCATGAAATTATCTCCATTGCTAACATCTCTACATTACCCCAAACACAACTCCGGTCATGGTCTGCTTTCGTTATCGGACACTCCCCGTAAGCTTCGTCTGTGCAATCTACTTCATGTCACATCCCTTACTCACAATCTTTTATCTGTATCAAAATTAACTATCGATAACTTTGTTTCAATTTCTTTTTACGCTAATGGCTTTAAAATTAAGGATCTTCAGGACCATCGACCTCTTCTTCGTGGGCATCTTCTTAACGGCCTATATCAAATACGAATGGCTCCGGACAAACCTCCTAGAGCTCTTTGCACCGGCTTCACTCCTTCACAACTCTTGCATGCTCATCTTGGAAACCCGCACAAACCGTCTTCTTTCAATTCTTGCTAAGCACATTCTTGAATTTAGAAATGTATCTCTTTCATTTTTGTGTAACTCTTATAATGTGGCCAAGAGTCACAAGCTCTCTTTCAATAAAAAAGTGTTTTCATGTCCTCCTCTCCGTTCGAGCTCGTCGACTCGGACGTTTAGGGGCCGGCCCAACAACAATCTTTAGATGGGTTTCGTTACTACGTAGTTTTTTATTTTACACGTTTTCCTTGGATATATTTCATGCATTCCAAACAAGAGACATTCATGAAGTTTAAATTATTTTGCAGTCTCTTTCAAACACAATATTCCTCCACCCCCAAAATCTTTCGCTCCGACGGCGACGGCGAATTCACAAGCAACGCCTTCAAATCTTTTCTTCAAGAGCACGGTATCATCCAACAACTTAACTGTCCCCACACACCTGAACAAAAATGGTATAGCTGAGAGTAAACGCAAGCATCTCCTCGACCTCACTCGCACGCTCTTACACGCGTCCAATCTTCCAAATCAATTATAGGCCGAAGCTCTTTCAACATCTAACTACCTAATAAATCGGCTTCCTTCAAAATCTATCTCGCTGCAATCTACTTATAAAACCTTCATGACAAATTCCCCACCTATACTCACCTACGCACCTTCGGTTGCCTTTGCTACCCTTGGGTACAACCCTATACCTCTAACAAGTTCTCTCCTTGGTCTCACAAATGTATCTTCATAGGTTACTCCTCTAGCCACAAAGGATACAAATATTACAATCTTGACGCACACAAGATTCATATCGCTAGACACATTGTGTTTCATGAACACATTTTTTCCCTACAAAT